ATGAACAAACATAGAAAAGATAATATCTTTTAGTTCATCTAATGTAGTAGGTGAAGTTAGCATAGAATTGTCTTATGGAGTAACTAGATTAGAAATGGCATTAAAAAACACCTTTTCCAACATGTGAATCTCATATTGATATAAAAGAGAGAAAAAGTCCACAGCAGAATTTGTTATTTCCTTTTCATCTTCTAGTCATTGTCCATCTGAATTCTGAATTCTTCTAAGTTTGCTCCTTACTGACTTCCCTTTGGCAGTGGCATGATATAGCTTTGTGTTTCTTTCACCCTCCATAGACCATTTGATATTGGCATTTTGTATCCGGTAAATTTCGTCTATCTTTAATACATTATCTAACTCTTTCTTTGCTTTATCCAATGCCCAAGAACTAGCTTCAAAATAATCTCTTTCTACCCCAAGCTCTGCCAGAAAAAACTGGTGCTCTTTGATTCTAATATTGTCAAATACATTACCAAATACCTCTTTATTCCACTTCTTTATATGGAACTTAAGGTACTTGAGCTTCAAAAACATATTTTCAGTAGGGTTGGATGAATAATGAACACTCCAACTACTCTCCAACAATTTCAAAAAACCATTGTGTTCAGTCCACATATCATTTGAATCCTAATTAACACTCATTAATACCCTATCAATCCTTTGCCACATTTTGGCCACACATGTTGATTTTTAAACCAAGTTTATGCAGTGCTAGTAAATCCACAATCCCTTAGACCATTAGAGTTAATAAAAGCTACAAACTCATGCATAATAGCAAAGACTAGGAGATAAACCTTCCCTTCTTTCCACAGAGGAAACTATAGTATTATAATCTCCCATCAACACCCAAGGAACATTAGCTATGTTCAAGCTAGATAAATGCAACCATAAAGGTCTCCTCAGGATATAGTCACACTTAGCATAGATGAATGAAACTAAAAAAGGCAATGACCCAAGAGATAAAATCTTAACTATTAAGGCTGTTCATATGCTAAAAGGACAGTAACTTTCAATCTGGGATCCCAAATAAGCCAAATATGTTTCTCTGCCAAATGATTGTCTAAAAGGAAGAGAAACCTAAACTACCACATAAACCTTGCATCTTAGATGGACTCAACTTAGGTTCTAGTAATGACACCAAACAAATATCATTCATTGTAATTAGTTTTTTCAACCTCACTCGAGAAGATTCTTGATTAGCTCCCCTAACATTCCAAGTAATCAAATTAATCATTTAAAGGAGTTAAGAAGAAGACCTTGCCAGATCAAGATCTAGTAACCATGCCTGCTTTGTGTTACTTCTGAGAATTGTTGATTGTTCCCATTACTTGCTCCGGAAAATGAGCTCTGAGTATCCATTTCAATAAAATCAACACTTCTTGACAATTCATCATTTGTGTGGTCGCCCTTATCTGGTAGTTCCTTAGTCACCTACAATCCTCTATCATCATCCAGGGCATAATTGCTTCTCTTCTTGCATTGATACTGGTGGTCTGTGAGAAATGTGGAATCAGAGGAAATTAGACATTGTTCATTTAAAGAACATTATGTCTTCTTAGGGATTTTGTTCTGGTCTTGACTGTTATTAATTCCATCCTCTTATGCTTGCTGATCACCATGATTTGTTCCTAAAACATCTTGAATGCCCATAGTAGCACCAATTTTAACTTAAGATCATTCAGCAAGAGTGACAGGAGAAATGACTAGGATTTCAATATTTCCCTCTTTGCTTAAGCTATGAAGATCTTGCACAACATTAATTGTATAATTCGTTTGATTAGGAATATCTTTCCCAAAATGATCTCCCTTCTCCAAGATTCTAACAAAAGTTTCCATTTGAGTTAATCGAGTAAGAGATGCATTTCCCTAGTTGCCTTCTGTAATGAAGATTGCCCCTCAACATGAGCTTTCAAAATTTGATTTTGGTGTCTATTCTGCTTCTTCCAGAAACTGCTTTAATTGCTCCGGATTCCTCCTTTGAACATTTTGATTCGCCTTAGTTTGTTTCCCAAAGATTGCATTCTTACCCTTCTCAATCTGTTAATCTACCATTCCCTTTGTCTTGCCTTTGAAGATATTTTCAATCTTAGACTCCTTAAAATCTGCATTGTTTCCATTTTTGTCTTTAGGCAAATTTGGTAACTTCTTCTTTCAACATTAACCCTCACCATGGCCTTGTTTCCTACATACCCTTTCGAAACTTCTTGCTTCTTTCATAGATTATTCTTTGCCATCTTGCTCCTTTATCCCTCATATCAATCCAAATTCTAGATGGATTGTTGGCTTTGATATTAACCTCCACACAAACTCTTGCTACCCCTGGCCTTGATAAAGTGAGTGTAGCTTGATCATAAGCAAGCACCTTACCTATAGGCTTAAAAAGCAATTCCAAAAAATCCTTCTTGAAAAAGTTCAAAGGCAATTTAGGCATTGAGATCCATAGAGGTACAATAGAAGGCTCAATTCTAGGTATAAATCGAGAAAACCATTTAAAAAATCTGAATAGGTAGTCTTCAATCAATGTAGCATCCTTTAGCCGTGTCTTGACATAATCCTCCTGATTTTGGAACCTTAGCAAAATATGTCTTTGATCAATAGATCCAACCTCAAAATCCCCTCTTAAATTCAACTTGGATCTAATGACCTCCTTCATGACCCTCAAAGAAGGCCTACCATATGAGCATTTGCCAATTAAGGCATATTGCAAGGATTGGCAAGAATCCTTCACTTCTTCATTTGCAAAATAAAATGCTGGCTCTCCTTGATAGAATACTAGTGGTTTATTAATTATTGGCAGCACTTGATCATCTGATTTGGATTTATATTGATGCTCGAATAGTGATACAAAGGTTGGTTGAGTGGCTGTTTGCTTTGGTTAAAGAAGTTGATCATTTGAATGAGAATCGAATTGGTTTGGGTTGAAATCTAGTTGTTTTAGGAAACAATCTGGTGGCTGTGATGTTGAATCTGTTGTTTTGGGTATTGGATCTGGTGGTTTTGGTGGAATTAATATTCAATTGGCTAGGTGATGAACTCATGAAAGGAAAAAAATCCTAGACAGAAGTTAGAGCCTCTCTCTCTAGAATAGAGAAAAAGCTCCTAAACCCTCTTCATTCGTTCACACTTGCCAAGACATACACCTATATTACTTAGACACTACACAAATTTAACAGGATGCAACAATTGTTAATATAACTCTTGACCTAACATGAAATCGACTAAAAAAAACTTATTACAAACTTACTTTTGACTGGTTCACATTATAATCCGTGTTAAGCTCTAAACCTACTTAACAAATGGATCATAAATAATTTGAACATTTAGACAACACGGTCTATTATCAACCCTAACTTTGAGTTATATTAGTAATAACTTTTAGTGATTATTTAAAGCAGCCAAATCTCTTCTCGGTCGGTGACTTGTGTAGATAAATGGTTTGGTGGTTTTCACAATTGCCATCCGCCAAATGTATTCGAGGGAAAGATTTTTAAAGAACCCCCGAGAAGACCAAGCTCCTTTAAACATTTACTATTCTCCTAGCTAGTAAACCACATTCAAAACTTAATCATTGTTTAACTACCAGAAATCAATTCCTTATAATTGTACATTCAATTGAGATTTAATAGGTTAATAAAGTTACAACCCAATATTTTGGATTTGGATAGCTCGTCATATATTTTTTTACTTTTTGACCGTCTACGATATACTAGCATGGATCAATTTTTATATAGTATGTCTCATTTGAGTGATTTACATTTAAAATATTTTTTTTGAAGAACATCCGTATAGGTAAGGGTTTCCATTGTATCGTATTCGTGTAATTCATATGTTGTGTTATTCGTGTCGTGTCATTGTTATTCGTATCGTATTTGTGTTAAGACCCACAAAAAAAATTGTATTTAGTGTGTTTTGAGTGTTAAATATTAATCTAGATAATTTATTATGCGTATTTAATAATCGTATAAATATTATAATTATTCATATCAAATTCGCATCAACAAATCAGAGTTGACACCATTAATATAGGTTCTAAATCCAAAACTTTTATCCTCATGCATGGAGAGCCACACTCTTGCACCATTTATGCCATGGAAATCAATCCTATAGACTTCGGCCTTAGAGCATCTCTAACAAATGCTTCAAATGAGTAAAATAATTAAAATTTAACTAACCAAAACCAAAAATTATACTCCAACAGATTATGTTCCCATACTATAAAATAGATTTTTGTTACAATGATACTCTAAATATAGAGTATCACTGTAGCAACTTGTAAAGATAATTTATATTATTTTCTATCTTCTTTTCATTTCTTCCATTTTCTATCTTTCTTCCTTTCACTATTTTAAAACAAATAATACAAAATGAATGAAAAATAATATTTAAAAAGAGTAGTTAAAAATATAAAAAATCTGTTAAAATATGTATTAAAAAATGAAAAAATTAAATAAAAAATATTATTTTTTGAGCTGATAAAATACATTTTATTGTTAGAAATGTTATTACATGGCGCCATTTCCATGTCTCTGATAGAAAAGCATGCCCTGATATTTTCAGACACTCCCCTTCTTTCAGAGAGTCAAATCTCAACCCTCCCCGCCTACTCCACTTCGTCCTCTGTCTCCATGTTTTCAATTGTTATGACCCTACCTTGGCTTCAAATCCTTACTCGATTCATGACCCCACCCATCATATCAGTCACATCTTCTTTCCTCTCCCCCCCCCCCCCACCCCCCCGGCTCTCTCTCCTCTCTCTCTTCTCTCTCTGTCTCTCTCTCTTACACACACACATTATACATCCTCCTTACACATGAAACCCAGCTCTAAAACCACCCAAACACAGCTACTAGAACTGATCAAATTTCAGCAAAATGTGTCATTCATTCTCACACTCTCTTTCTCTTATTCTGCTCCTCATCTCATTTGCATTCAACCCTTCTCTCTCTATCGATGAACATGCAAACGAACGACATCCCAACAAGAATCCCCCTCCAAACACCATGGATCACTCTGAACTGGAAATTCTGTTCAAGATCATGGGCACGTTGTCCTCTGATAAAAACTGGAGAGCCTCATATCCAAACCCTTGTAAACCAGGCTTATCCTGGGTTGGGATAGAGTGCAAACCAGGAAATGATAACCACCTCCACGTAACGAGGCTTGATTTTGGAACACCACCAAATCCAACTTGCAAGAAAACAGCCACATTCCCTTCAGAAATCTTTGATCTTCCTCACCTTCAATCTGTGTTCTTCTTTCAATGCTTCACTCACACCAAGACCACCATCTCTGTTTCACAAAACAGAGTCTTCAGTTCTTCAATGCAACAACTCAGTCTTCGATCAAACCCAGGACTTATCGGCTCAATCCCTTCTCAAATCTCTTCTATCAAGTCAATTCAAATCCTCACATTGTCACAAAACCGACTTGGCGGGCGAATTCCGGTTGAGATTTTCAGTCTGAGCTCTCTCATACACCTTGATTTGAGCTATAATGTGCTCACTGGCTCCCTACCTTATCAATTGGGAAATCTCAGAAACCTTGTAGGCCTTGATTTGAGCTATAACGGGTTCACTGGATTGATTCCTGAGACAATTGGCCAGTTGGTTTTACTTCAAAAGCTTGATTTGAGCTCCAATTTGTTCACTGGAAGCATTTCAGAGAGCATTGAGAAGCTTAATTCTTTGGTTTTCATTGCTTTGGGAAACAACAAATTAAGTGGAAAACTCCCAAAAGGATTAGAAAAGCTGCAGAACTTGCAATATTTCATAATGGATGATAATCCAATGTTCATTTCACTTCCAGAAGAGTTTGGTCAGCTACAGAAACTACAAGAGCTTAGGCTTGCTAATTCTGGGTACTCGGGCACAATACCACCAGTTTATTCACAGCTTATCAATTTAAGCACCTTATCATTGCAGAACAACCGATTAACGGGCGAAATCCCAGTCGGTTTCAGTAATCTTTCTCACATATATCACTTAAATTTGAGCAGAAACTTGTTGGGTGGTGTTGTTCCTTTTAATTCAGGTTTCTTCAAGAGGCTGGGTAAGAATTTGGACTTGAGTGGCAATCCAGAGCTGTGTTTGAGTCCATCTGAATCATATTTTGTCAAAATTACTGGAGTTGATGTTTGTGGAAACAAAAACAGCACTAGTTCTGTGATCAAGCCAGTGAAGAAATCTGAAGCTCCACATGGGTTCAGTAGGCCATTGTTACTTTTTAGTGGTTTGAGTGTTCTGGCACTACATCAGGTACTGGTAGCATGGGTGTAATCTTGGTTCTGTTTATCTTTGGTATTTTTGGTATTTACTTGTATTGTTGCCGTAATTCTTGTAGCGTGATGGTTAAACTAGAATATTCTGATTCTTTGAAGTGAAGAAACTCCAGTTAAGTATGTCTGCATTCGCATTTCAAGGAAGAAAATTTTAAATTTCTTCCACAATTTTGAGTCAAAAACGTTTCGGGAAAATAATAAAAAAAAGTGATAAAAATGGAATTTTAATTATAGAGCATTCCAAATAATGGAAAGAACATCTTCAAACTCACCCAATAACATAGAAACTTCGATTTTTTATTACTTTTCCATTTATGTTTTCACCAAAATTACGAAAACCAAAATATCCTTACCTAAATTATCAAGAGTTCCTATAAACCTTAGATAGAGTTGAAGTCACTTGTTTTTTGAATTGTCTGTCACTAAAGGGCCCGGAGATTTCTGTGTAACCTATGGTAGGCGTAGGTCTAAGGAATTATTGTAATAGGAGGAAATACTATTTAGGTTTAATGTGTGGATTTAAAGTGTATATTTGATAATTATAACAATTGAATAAGTAATGAGTCTCAATAAATACTGTAATTCACATTAAAACTAATAATTGTGATTATCAAAATACACATTTTAAATTCGTATACTATTACTCGTATAACAAGACAGACAAAGCCACCCGTTGGAGCTAGCTTAGGCTTATGCCTCCCTAATTTAGTTTTTCAAAATCACATACATATAATTTTATAATTTTTTTTTATATTTAGATGTGTCTACTCTATATTATTTTCTTCTCATATTAATTGGTATAAATATCTAACTAACTATAAACTTTTGAACAAACTTCAAACACGTCGGTTAAATTTTGGACATATTAATATTATTTTATAATTTTTAGCATAAATTATGAAGTTATTTTGCTATTTTATAAAAATTAGGATCATTATATAATAAAATATAAGGTTACATTATACGCCTATAAAAAAAATTAAGAGACAACTTAAAATTATAAAATCATTTGGATTTTAAAAAATTAAATATGACTATGTTTAATTGCCGAGATTATTCTAATTATACCAAAATGAGCAACGAAGAGAAAAAGAAAAAAAAGTGACTAGTGAGTTTGACTTTCAATTATTATGCAATTGTTAGCAACTATTTTACAACTTGTACTTATTTGAGATTCAAATAGTTAATGATAACACTAAAATACTAAGTCACTCTTAGTTTGACAATTATATTAATGATGTATTCTCTAGCATTTAATTTTCAAAATCTAGAAATAATCAATGGTCATGCGCAAAGAAATTATTAAGACTATAAAAGACATAATTTATCTATTAATCTATTTTCTTGTGCCTTTGTCATTAATTTTGCCAGTTGTGTTTCCTACAGTAGAGAGAACATTTTGATTTATAACAACTATGTAAACTCGTTTGTGTTATAAATAGGTAATTGATAATATCATTTAATAAACAAAGAAAGACATATTTAAAAAACATTGGTAGTTAAAGTATCATGCAACGCTTTCAAAAATATGAGAATGGTAGAAGTCAATAGTAAATAATTGTAATTAGCTTCAATTTTTTTTATAAATAATTTGTTTATTTTTTTTGTTTGTAGAAATTGTACAATAATTTTTGATCCGGTTATGTTTAATGAATTTTTAAATATCAAATATGATATAAATAATAAGCATATTGATTAGTAGAAAAAAATAAGATTTTTTTGATATTTAAAAATAATAAATATTCACCTTAAAAAGATTTTTTTGGCTCCCACTTGCGTGCATACATGTGCATATGTGTACTTGTGTGGGTGTGTGTAGGTGGGGTTTTTTATTTTTTATCAAATTTTCCTCATTTAGTAAGTTTATTTTTTCATGGTAATTTTTAACTTATTTGTTAGTTTAACTCATGTTTTGAGAAAATAAAATAACTAGTTATTGTCTGTGTCTAAAGGCACAGAGTGATAAAAAATGATAAACAATAAACATATTTATATTTATATCTAAAATCAAATCACAAATATAGTGAAAAAATAAAAAAATTAAAACATTGTTTTGTAGTGGGGATGAGAGCTGGTGGGCGACAGTGGTGGTGGAAGGAGACGGTGATGGTTGTGGTGGGTGGTAATGACCGTGGTGGCAGTGGTGTGGTGTGGTGGTGGTGATGACAACAGTGGTGGTGGTGGTGGCGGCAATGGTGGTGGGGGTGGCAGAGGCAGTTGAGGTGGCGGTGGTGGTAATAGCGGTGATGGTGGCGGTACTGATGGTGGTGGCGACGCTGGTGGTGATGGTGGTGGTGGTGGTAGTGGTCGTGGTAGAGATAGTGGTGGGGCAATTTCAAATACTATTTTTTTAAAAATATTTATGATAAATAATTTATAAAAGTACTTTTAAAAAGTCACTCCAAACACATTTTTAGGAGTCTATTTTTCTTATTAAATTTAGGGTGTTAATATTAACCGTTAAATTAACTTTAAAGTAAAATTTAAAATAATTTTAACCGCGAATAACAAAAGTTATTTTTTTTATCTTTGAGATTTGAATTGTAAATTACTTTATTATATAGATGTTTGTAGAATATATAAAATAATGTTTGTATAATATTTTAATAAATTATCTCAAAAGCGTGTTTTGTAAAAGGCACTTTTATATTTAGAAGTAGTTAAAAATAATTGTAACAGCGGTTTAAATTTAAAAATTAGTATAGGTTGAAATTTGTTTCAGTATATATGGGTCCCAGGACCCCCACTTTTATTTAAATGCATTCACTTGGGGGCCTACAATTGAGTGGCTCCTCTGCATTGATTTTCCTAGTTGAAATTGAAGGTCCATGTTTTATTCTAAAACAGTGTGCATACTGCTTACTGCCTTTATTAGTATGTTTTGTGACAAAAAATCCCATGCGTTATTAGACCGGGGTGAACTTTAGATGCATGCAAACACCCGTTACTTGTGCACCAAAAAAATAAAAATGAAAAAAAATCCATGGGGAATGGGGATGGCTATCCCAACACCACCCTTGACCTTGTTTACATTCCTTGAAGGGATAAAAGCTACAATATCGAAAAGTTTTTGAAATTGCAGTACCAAAATTCTTAACTTTCTTCTAGTTAAAACATAATTTTATGGGATCAAAAGTTAAAATAAAATGAGATTGTTGGGATTATTCTAATATTTTATGATCAATTTCTAATTATTTTGTCATAACTTGATCTCAATTTTTTGTGTTTTGAACCAAAAATACAATAAATTTCAGTATGATACATTTTTCGGTATTAAAACGTTAACCTCATTGAAGATTACTGGAAATGGTTTTATACAATTCTATTTAAGTGGAAACAAGTTAAAGCACTGCTGTATGAGCCTTTCCTATTGAAGGAACAATATTGGTCCGTGAAATTACACAAAAACCCTTTTGAACACTTTTGTTTTCCTTATTTTGACATCAATGACAGTTATATTCAGATAAAAATAGAAATCAACAAGGGTGATACAAAAATTCATTGTTCACCATACCATCCAGATTTTCTTTTTGGGTTAATTGTAAGTTGCACTCCGAAAGATAGTTTGAATCTCAATTTAGACATCCAAAGATGAAAAATTTTAATTTACACCTTCATAAATAGAATTTTGTATCAATGTGCACCCTTAAAGATAAAAAATCTTAATTTGCACTCTCAAAAATAAAAATTTATATCAATGTGCACATAAAACTAAATTGATAAATTATACTTAGATCTCATAATGCTTGTCACTTAATCATTTGCACCTCTTCAGATTTAGAATATTACTCCTACATCTTATGATATTTGTGCATGTATAACACGTAACTTATTGTCGTTGATACATGTTAATATAACCGTTAAAATATATGATTTTATTCTAATAAAAAATTATGATTTTATATTATCTTTTTTTTGTGGGTTCAATATACTCTAAAGTTCAAAATCAAACTTACTATTTGAATGTCTAATAGAATGTAGATATTTATATAATATTTTTTATATCCAATGCAATATATTATTCAATGTGCTACCCTTTATTTTATTAGAAATTCAAATGGTAAGCTTGATTTTGAATTTTAAAATATATTGGACCTATAAAATAAAGGGTAATATGAAATTATAATATTTTTATTAGGATAAAATTAGATTTTTTAACTGTTATATTAATATATATCAACAAAAAGGGGTTACGTGTTACACGTGTACAAACGCTATGAAATGTAAGAGTAATATTCTAAATGTGAAGGGATCCAAATGATTAAGTGATAAGCATGAGAGAATCTAGGTATAATTTATTAATTTAATTTTAGGTGCACATTAATATAAGTTTTTTTTCTTTGAGGGTGCAAATTAAGATGTTTTATTTTTAGGGGTGCGCACTGATACAAAATTCTATCTTTGAGGGTACAAATTAAGATTTTTGATCTTTGGGGTGCATATTGATACAAATTCTTATATTTGAGAGTGTAAATTAAAATTTTTAATTTTTAAAAATATAAATTAAAATTCAAACGATCTTTCATAATACAATTTTACAATTAACCCTCCTTTCTAACCTCTACCAAAGCTTTAACCAGGGAAATAACATTAAAAAGTAGAAAGAAGTAGGGTTCGGTACGGACAAGGACTGCTGTGCAAGACGGAACAAGACCTTCAGAGGACTGAGCACTAGGACATTTAGAGAGACTGAAGCACAGGATCCAATCAAACACGGGATAATATCATTGGTACCCTTAGGTTGATCATACTACTAAGGACATCGCCTCCAGCTCATATAAAATCACAAAAAACCCTACAAGCCAGTGATTTTGTTCACAAACTACTCTTGTGGTTTTTGAAATCCCTCTGCCGTAAACAGTTATAAGGTATGTGGATGATTTCAACAACTTTTGGCCATAAAATATCTAAAGTGCCCCTCTGTTAGCTAGCCTATTTTGGCAATTACTGATTTAGCAAAAAATACGCCCAACACAATTATTTGATTTAGCACAACTCTTGATTATTAGAATATCACCGA